AATAGAATAGAATAGAATAGAATAGAATAGAATAGAATAGAATAGAAAATAGAATAGAGAATAGACTAGACTAGACTAGACGACTAGAATAGAATAGACTAGACTAGACTAGACTAGACTAGAATAGAATAGAATAGAATAGAATAGAATAGAATAGAGAATAGAATGAAATATAGAGTAGAGTAGAGTAGAGTAGAGTAGAATAGAATAGAATAGAATAGAATAGAATAGAATAGAATAGAATAGAATAGAATAGAATAGAATAGAATAGAATAGAATAGAATAGAATAGAATTCTTGATTGGCCAAGTGTGAACTGGACACACAAGAAATTTGTCTTGGTGCAAATGCTCTCAGTGGACATAAAGGAAAAAAATACATTCATCAAGAATCATAAGATGCAACACTTATGATAGTGATAGGATACTAATAAGCAATCAAATCATACTAGGAAACAAATAAAACAATACAAATTGTAAAGATAGAAGCAACATGGTTATAGTCATAAGTGGGAAGAGATAGGCACAATCTTAATAAATAAGTTGATAATGTTGTGGGAATTAGGATTGTAAGGATTGTAAATGTGAAAAATTGTCCTTTTCTCAGTGCCATTTTAACTTTGAACAGTCACTAAAGTTGTAAGTCGTATGTGTAGCGTGGTTGTATGTGTAGCGTGGTTTTACAGAAAGTTATTTGTGCTGTTTTTGTTGTGGTCCTTGGAGAAATTCTCGACTCCTTGTCACTGCCTGTCATTTCCTTGGCAACTTTTTGGGAAGTAGTTTGCCTTCTTCCGAGGACTGAACTTGTTCCAAAGTCATCCAAAGGACTTCGTGCCTAAAGCAGGACTCGAACTCAGGGTCCCTCTGATAGCAGCCCAACATCCTTAACCCCCATGGAGATACTGTTCCAACTGCTGTAATTAGAATGATGATTTAGCTCCTTTTCATGTATTGGACATGGTGGCTCAGAGGGTAAGACATTGAGCTTGTGGATCAGAAAGGTCGGCAGTTCAGCGGTTTGAATCCCCAGCACCGTGTAATGGAGTGAGCTCCCGTTACTTGTCCCAGCTTCTGCCAACCTAGCAGTTCGAAAACGGGTAAAAATGCAAGTAGAAAAATAGGGACCCCTTTGGTGAGAAGGTAACAGTGTTCCATGCGCCTTCGAAGGCATTTAGTCATGCTGGCCACATGACCATGGAGACGTCTTCGGACAACGCTGGCTCTTTGTAATGGAGATGAGCACCGCCCCCTAGAGCTGGAAATGACTAGCACGGATGTGTGAGGAGAACCTTTACCCTCTACCTGAATATATTGATGAAGGTGTGCTTTGGGCATCAAACTGGGATAAGAAATGCATGCCCCTTTTTTCAGTGCTGTCGTAACTTCGAACAGCCACTAAATGAACTGCTATAAGTCAAGAATGACCTGTTTCATCCTCCATACATTTTGAATGGTGCATATTTTGGACATTATTAACCCCCAAGTGCCGACAGCAGACCTAAGTATTTCCTGGTTCAACAGATACTATTTTACATTGCAAAAAAAAATCAGGGAGCAATCATCCTGAAGAACAAATATTTATTTGTTGATGATGTAACATTGTTGGGCTCATTAATTGAATTAAAATTAATTGAATGAATACATATAACTTTCCTAGCTACGTGCGCCCGTTAATTCAGCTTGTTGGTTGTTTCACTTTTCGTTGTTTAACGAGCCCTCCAAAATTGGATTAATTTTTCATGACTGGGAGGAGTTGTAAGGGAAAAAATGGGTGCCTTAAGTGGTTTGAATCTGCAGCTACATCTGAAGCTTCAACTAAATCTAAATCTCAACCCACATCTGAATCTAAAACTAAATCTGAATTTAAATCTGAATCTATATTTGAATCTAAGCTAAATCTGCATCAGAATCAGAATTTTCCTCTGAATCTGAACCTGCCTTTGTATCTACTGGTAAATGTAATCTAAATATAAATCTAAATTCTACACCTAAACCTTAAACCCTAAACCCTAAACTCTAAACCCAAACCCCTAAATTTAAATCTAAATGCTATACATAAACCC